CAGTTAAGTGTAATTTTCATATTTCATAATTTAATGCTAATAGTGAATTAAATAACGATGAAACCAATGAGTGTAATTACAAAAGGCAGTTAATCAATACATCTATATCTATGTATTGAACTTGTAATTAACCCCGTGTCCAAAGCAGGTTATGGGAACAGCCCGATCATCAGAGACTGTTAATGACCATAAATGACAGATGGTCCACTTCACATATATAAAAAAATGATTAGTGTGACGAAGGCCAAGCTGCCCAAACCTCTTCAAATAGTTTATATGCAAATGGAATCTGTGATTATATTGTCTTTAATGTTTTGTGGACAGGCTCAAACCTCTGAAGGGCGACACTTTCGATGCGTTATTGCTTGTTTTAAAGGTTTTTCTCATCACTCAACTCAACTCAACTTTATTTCTAGAACACTTTCAAAACAACACATAACAAACAGAAGGACAGTCTGGAATTTTGGACATAGGATCTCATTTCCTAGTGAGCCAGAGTGTTGGAGAAGTGTGGAATCACTTTTTTAAAATATTCCATCCAGTCCTTGGATTTGCAGAGGTCACTGGTGCTAGACTAGTGCATGTCAATGGCCATAGTTATCCTGCCACTAAAAACAGTCTTACCCACTCCACAAAACACCCGAAAGCAAATCTATAATTACACCAGACTGTCCATGTAAATGTCTGTGTTGATAGAATAATGTTTGAAATAAAACTGACCTTGCATCACATGAATCATCGCATGTTGAGGGACTATTTTCTCATATATCAGTCCGCCGCTACCGAGCTTTCTATCAGGAAGTACAACTCGCTGCTGCTGCTCAGACATAAATCCTTCAAATGCAAGGTTGGTTTTAATTCAAAAATTATTCTATCAACACAGATATTCACATTGACAGTCTAATAGATTTGTTTCGGGTGTTTTGTGGAGTGGGTAAGACTGATTTTAGTGGCAGGATAACTATGGCCATTGACATGCACTAGCCTAGCACCAGCGACCTCTGCGAATACAGTCGTCCCGCAGTAAAATGCAGTTCACCTTTGCGGTATCGCTGTGTCGCAGATTTTTTTGGGTGCTTTTTTTATTTTATGCGCATTGTGTTCCTGCCCCTGCGTCCTGAATGGACTAAGGAACTGTAGACCATTGTCAATCAACCGTGCCGTGTCTCCGGTACAGTACAGATGTTTTCAGTTTGCCAAATTTAAATAAATGTTCGATCTCTAGCGGTGTGATTCCGAAGTGCTGTATGTTTGCAAGTTTTCTCCCCGACAAAACCCACAATGTCAACGAAATATTCTACACCAACAAAGGCTCCCGCGGTCGCACCCAAAAGACTTCTGGACACGCTGAAGGAGGGTAGAAGTTACGCTGCTATAGGGGATCATTATGGAATAAATGAATCGGTTTTGCAGCCTTAAAAAAGCTGATTACTTCGCGGATTTCGCCTATTTTTAGAACGTAACCCCCACGATAAACGAGGGACCACTGTACAAGGACTGGATGGAATATTTTTAAAAAAGTTTCTCCACACATCTCCAGCACTCTGGCTCACTAGGAAATGAGTCCAAAATTATGTCCAAAAAGTTTCTTTAAAAGCCAGGTAGAAAAAGTGAGTTTTTAGTAACATACCTGTCGTTTTGTTTTTGTTTCATTCACACATTTGACACACAAACCCATTGTCGTGGAACTGCCCACCTCTACTGAACTGAGCATTTGAGGTTTGGAGATGTAGACCGACTAATATTTAAGGATTACTCAAACATGTGTGAATCAAAACAAAACAAAACACAACTCCAGGTATTTTTTGACGAGATAAAAACATTACAACATGGCTAAAAGCTCACAAGAGTCCGGTTTGTGTAATATAAGAACCTTAAACTATTTTGGAGCACAGCAGCAAACCCCATAAAGCGCCGCACTTTGGGCACTATGATTAAACATGATTGGTAGTTTGTTTTAACGTTGAATCGTATAAAATATCAAACAATCAAACCCCCAACTGCTCTTAAAGTGTTTACGGCACAGAGTTTACAATCAGTGCTGGTATTATCTGTGTTCAGGTTTCATTTTTGGTTGTTTGAATGACGGCGACCATGTAAAAGAAAAGGATTTAAATGCATTTTTCTCTGTAAATACGAAGCGCTGTTGTCAAACGACTACTCAAAAAACCCCAAATTGCTTTAAGTATAGAGAAATGTATTGGGATCCCTTCAAAAAAGCTCAGTGCGTTGACATTTTCCGCGCCGATTTAAACAATATCTTTGTATTTACAGCTAATACAATCTCAGAAAACACCGTTCAAAATCAATACTTTCTCCTATTTCTGTAAACGAACTTCTAAGTATTCCTTTCTAAGAAGAATCATCGGCGTGCGAGCGGGTCGGGCAGTGTCACGGGTGCACCTCGGGTCAGGCGGAGTTCGGGGAAACAAAACAAAAACAGCTCTGACCTCTGACCTGACTCTGAGCTCAAACGCACTCGTCTGTCCGTTTTTCAGTCTCATCGTCACACCTCCTCTCCCTGACATGTGTCTGTGGAGTCTTTCTATTACAGTCAGGCTTATACGGAGGAATGTCTACGCTTCTGCACACTTGTATTTTTCTAACTCAACCAGCCGAGTTTTTGAAAAGAAAAGTGGAAAGCTATTTTAATGCACCTACCGCATATAACGTCACACTTTATCCAATCATATGGCCTTGTGATTCAACCATATATTATGAATAGCATACTAATAATAATAATGCTACTGCTACTACTAATACTACTACTACTACTACTATTACTACTATTACTACAATACTACTATACTATTACTTTCAAATTCTATCATTTTTTCATTTGAAATTTCATTCACATTTTCATTCCCATTTTCTGCAATATTTAACCTCAGCCAAAACATTTAGAGGAATGTTAAGATATCGTTTTTTACTACTACTACTACTACTACTACTACTACTACTACTACTACTACTACTACTACTTTCAAATAAGAGTTTATATCACTTTTCTGCAGTTCGGGGTTCATTTGAAAGTTCTTTCACATTTTGTATAATATTTAACATCAGCTGAAACGTTTTGAGGAACATTAAGATATTGATTTTTACTACTACTACTGCTGCTGCTGCTGCTACTACTACTACTACTACTACTATACTAATACTTTCAAATAAGAGTTTATATAATTTTTCTGCAGTTTGAGGTTCATTTGAAAGTTCATTCATATTTTCTACAATACCTCACCTCAGCCAAAACATTTAGAGCAATGTTAAGATATTGTTTTTCTTTTTTCTTTTTTTTTTTTTACTACTAATACTGCTACTATACTACTATACTACATTCAAACAAGAGTTTACATATTTTTTTTTTCTGCAGTTTGGGGTTTATTTGAAAGTTCATTTGCATTTTGTATTATACTTAACGTCAGGCAAAACATATAGAGGAATATTACTACTACTACTACTACTACTACTACTACTACTACTACTACTGGCAGCATATTCTAGTTGTGGTTCTAGTGGTTGTTCAGTGGTTAAATATGTTTAACCAAATTCTTTTCTTATTCTTCTTCTTTTTTTTTTATTATATGGAGGGGTTGTTGGTTTAACTCTTTAACTCTTGACTTCAAATGAACTGTCTGAAATGAATTGTATGTACAGTGAGTGCGCTGGTGTTGTGTACTTTTGTGTGATTGTTACTGGACTTTTCCCTGTCCTGTAGATCATTGTTTCCCACAGACTGGGTCATGATCCTCAGGTGGGTCGCAAGAGATTTTTTTTTTTGGGTTGCCTTGCACCAAACTGCATTTAGGTCTGAAATATACAGTTCTACAGACTATTTTGTTCTAATATTGCTGGTTCAGTTGAAGCTGAAAAGAAAAATAAATGAGCTACATTTAATGTCCAAATAGGCGACTTATGGATCCTTTTATTGCTGCTTCAAATACTGTTTTTCATTGTTTAAAACTTGTTCTGGAGAGACACGATCACTCAAACTGCCAAGGGACTGAAGATGAAAAAATAATTAATATGCGCTGTCCCTTTACAAACAAATAAATAAGAAATACTACTACTACTAGTACTACTACTACTACTACTACTGACAACATTTTATTTATTTATTTATTTATTTATTTTTTTTTTGGAGAGGGTTGCTGGTTTAACTCTTTAATTCTTGACTTGAAGAAATGAGCTACATTTAATGTCCAAATAGGCGACTTATGGATCCTTTTATTGCTGGTTCAATCACAGTTTTTCATAGTTTAAAACTTGTTCCGGAGAGACACGATCACTCAGTCAACAATTTTCAATAATGGTCAAATCCACCTTTATTTTATGATTATGATTTACAAATAATGTCTAGTGAGTTGGATCGCGAAGGTTTGTAACTTTTAAAATATGGGTCCCCCGAAAAAAAAAAAAAAAAAAAAAAGTTTGGGAAACACTGCTGTAGATGATTTCACATGAAAAATTAATTAATATGTGCTGTCCCTTTACATATAAATAAATAAGAAATACTACTACTACTACTACTACTATTATTATTATTAATATTATTATTATTATTATTATTATTATTATTGCGAATAATACTATGCCTATAACATTGCTAATAATATTTTTAATAATTTTAAACAATTTGAAGTAATTTGACTGACAGTGGGTACAGCGTGTGCACAGGCAGCTCCACGCAGCGTCTTGCCGCCTCACTGCCGCCTGAGCACCGCTTTCCTCCGCTCTGCTCCGCGCCTCGTCCGCTCTCTGCACCGACCAAACCGAGCCAAGCCGAGCCAAACCGAGCCAAACATGTAACCGGAATCCGCGCGTTTCGCCTGCGCCTCATCTGCAAATGTAACCGCGCACGCTGCACGGGACTTTTACCCAAGCGCGTTGTGTGCATTTCTCCCCCCCTGGATCCTTTCGCCTTTTCCATTCACCGCATCGTTTTTTCTCTCTCCTTCTCTCCCCTCTTGTGTGTGTGTGTATGTGTGTGTCCCTAGCAGCTCTTCGGCGCTCGGATCCTGGTCTCCAAGAGGCTGCAAAACCGTGCTAGTCGACTCCTACCGAACCAAATGCGTTTGTGACAGACTGTCCACCTTCGCCATTTTAGCGCGGCTCAATCCTGAAATGGTAAGTCCCCCGACACTGCAAAGCCTTTTTTGCACTTGCTACACTTGACATCCATTGGAGACGGGGCTGTTTTGGTGGTGATTTTGTGCGGATGCTTCTCCAAAGGGCGTCATTGTCATAGGCTATCAACAGATCCTCCCTCTCCAAGCGCATCACCCTCCCCGCGCGCCCCTCTCGGCACATGCCAAAAATGTGCCGCTAAAGGTGATTAACCGAGCTTAAGAAACGCCGATTGTAAACCCTCAAAAAAAGAAAGCAAAGACATGAATGGAGGTGCACATAGCAGAGGAGGAGGGCTTGTGTTGTGTGCTAACCTGGTTGGCTAATTAGCTGGCAGATATAGCCACTGATAGTACCACTCCACGTTGACTTGGACGTAATCAGGTTTTAAAGCAAATTGCGCGTAATTATACCGCGTGAAGCCTCTTATAATTGTTCCCCTTGCAGCTCCACAATTGATATTCATATTAGCATATTTTTACATATTTGACAGTCAGTGCTGTATCCATGGTTATTAGGCCCAGTGGAGTAGGTAGCCAGCTGCTGTGCGCATGATAAGGTTGGGAGAAAAATGGCACCTTTATCACGTTGGACGGTTCAGTGTGGGATTCTTCACACTTTAGCTTGGTATTGTAAAGGAGTGAGGGTGTTTGCGGACAGAAATGCACATATATGTTGGAACTATATGTATCCATTTCTTTGGTATCGCTCCATAAAGGCCTTTATGTTGCTTAAAATGGAGATGTATGGTTTGTAACGATGTCCAAATCTCTCTGTATCACGATATTTTCACGATTTGCATCTCACCGTACGATATTTATTGCCATATTTTTATAGAGGCTGATATAATTGTAGATAAGACACGTTTTTGTGAATTATTTCCATCATAATCCCAAAAAATATTGAGTAAAAACATGTTTCTTCATGTTGTCTGCGCTGAAATGAATCATGGGATATGTAGTTCCCGAAGTTTTTCAGCTATTCTTACTATAAAACCATGCGTTTAAGCAAAATATTTTGTAATTGGATATATTGTGACAGCCCACGCTTTTATTGTGAGACTTTTGACGATACGATATTACAATATTTTGGTTATTATTCGGTTACGTCGATACATGGATGTATTGATAGAGGTGGAAGATAAAAGCTGTCAAAGTATTAGTAGTGTAATTGCTGTTTTGGAGATACAGTATGTATAATTAGAAAATGGAGTAGTTTGTCTTTTTCTATGCTTAAGGTTAACTAATTTAATTAAAGTCTGCTGAATTTGTGTAATACTTGAATTTCGTTTTGGGTAATACTTGAATTTCAACCAAGAAATTGTTTAAATGGCTCATATTACGCTCTTTTTTGCGATGTTATAATGTAGTTTTCTCATTAATCTGTAGTTGTGTTTTGTTTCTTTCACATACGTCTCATAAATCCTTCATATTTAGGCTTGAGTTCTTCTCTCAGACAGAAATTGCTCTGTTCCACCTTGTGACGTCATGTTGTAATACAGGAACACTGCTCTTCTGTGGTTTAAACTCCATACAGCCTTTACTAGAATGGATGATTTCAGTCCCGGTTCTTTTGAATAAAAGGTAAAAGGAGCTGTTAACTAGGGGTGTAACGATATTCAGGTCTCACGATATCGTCACGGTACGATATTTATTGCGATATCGTGGGAAAGCTCACGATATGGAGGGGAGGGATGTAACGATATCCAAATCTCTCTGTTTTCACGATATTTTCACACTATACATCTCACGGTACGATATTTATTGCGATATTTTGTGGACAAAACTGTTAATATGCTGCTTTTTCCTCTTAAAATGCCTTGACAAAACTTAATCCAAAGAACTAAGACTTAAAAGTGCTTAGAACTGTTATTTCTTCTTGTAGTCTGCACTGAAATGGAGCAAAGGATCATGGTCTATGTAGTTCCCTCTGTCTTTTTTTTTAAGCTGTTGCTGCACCATAACTCTTCATTTAAGACAGATTCGATTTATTGTGATGGTCCACGATATTACTGTGAGAACTCTGACGATACGATATCACGATATTTTGGTTATTGTTACATCCCTACTGTTAACTACTGAAAACTACCACTTCATGACGTCACAAGGTGGAACAGAGCGTTTTAAGTGCTGGAGATGTTGGCAGAGACAACTCCAGGTATGTTTTTGATTAAGTAACAACATTCTAACATAGCTTAAAGTGAATTTTGTGCAACAGAGGGCTGGATTGGATGTTGTTTTGCGGATCTTAAAATTTGAGAAACATTTATTATAACATTTTGTCTGATGTGTTGACTTGTATTTCACCACAAGATTGATATAGCAAGTTTGTGGCCCAATTTCGCCATTTGCAATTCTGTTTTTGTGTTTGTCGAGTTGCGGTTAAAGTCTATTGCATTGCTATTACCCCAGGCAAGCAATATTAAAGTTTGACCTCCACAGATACGGTGTGTCAATGATTATGGGTGTTTTGCCTTAATTTACGACCAAATAATGTTGATTTGAGTCAGTTTGCTTGGCCTCGTTCTATAAATAATGCATTATACAGCACGTTTGGGAATCATTTTGCTTTGGTTCAACGTTAAATTTTGCCGTGTACAAACTGATTGCAAAGTGTAACCTACATCTAAACTATGACTGAAAGATTTGGGGGGGAAAAATATATCATTTTGAGTTTTCTAACAAGCGTTGTGATTGCGATTGGATTTGCAGTTTCTGTTTTAGGATCCTGTTCGAAATTCACATTTTAAGAAGAACTGACAATAAAACTGAAATGTGAACAGACAAACTAAGACAAGAATCACATTTCAGAACATGTTTGTGCGGATGTAAACTAAAGGCTTAGCAGTTGTTATACAAAATTCAGAGGTTTCAAATGACAGCGCAAGATTTTATAGGCGAATGTTATTGAATACAGATGGGGTTCAGCTCAAATTAATAGAGTTAAAATGTAGGGATAGGACGAGATACAATTTCCACAAGATGAGATGCAAGATTGGGTCCACAAGAACGAGACAAGACGTTTTAACATAATTCCTAATATAGTTAATATATCATTTCAGTTTCTAATTTTGGCCTCACATTTTTTTTATTTATTTGATTTCATATTTTTGTTTCCATTCTAGTGTTGCTGTTTTGTATAAGAGATGTAACTCACCAACACTTAACCCTTTTTTTGTCCAGTCCAAATGAGATCTTGTACCATCCCCATTAAAATGCAGAATGTTGTTGTCATTAGGGATGGGCACGATGAGTCGATTAATCGATAATTGATCATTAAGAATTTCGTCGATTACGTTAATTTTTAATCGACAAACCGAATGTTGGTTGCTGTGCGTGGCATAGGGTAACCAAAAGTCCGTTTTTCCCTGGACATGTCAGTTTTTCACGTCCTGTCCTGGCCGTCCGGGTTTTTTTTTTTTTTTTATAAAATGATGCAAATATCCTAGGTTTTCATTATCGTTCATTGGGCCATTAAACTGAGCGTCTCTCGTAGCGTCTGTAACTCAGAAGGAGCGAGCAGACGCTGACAGTCGGTCAACCTGCAACACGCCGAAGCACAAATGCGCATTTAACGATGACTTGTACAAGAAATTCCCTGCTCTCCGCCCCGATCAAGACAAGTGGGAGGTCAGTGTGCACAGTGTAAAAAGTAGGCACATCTGTTTCAGTGTCCAGTGACCCAATGACCAACCCATGTTCTTCACAGTCAGTTTGAGTTGATGCCATCAGGCAGAAGGTACAGGGTTCCAAACTGTAAACTGAACAGATTCAAACATTCTTTTGTGCCACTAGCTGTTAAACTGCTAAACTCAGATAATGCAGTTAAAAAATAATTATAAAAGGCTTAGGGATTGTGCAATCAAAACTGCACATAGGTGTAGGGAATGTGCAATAATTATATCTAAAACTGCACATAGGTGTAGGGAATGTGCAATTAAAGCTACACATAGGCTTAAGGAATGTGCAATAATTAAATCTGCACATAGGCTAAGGGAATGTGCAATAATTATAACTAAAACTGCACATAGGCTTAGGGAATGTGCAATCAAAACTGCACATAGGCTTAGGGAATGTGCAATAATTATAACTAAAACTGCACATAGGCTTAGGGAATGTGCAATAATTAATAGAACAGAAGAATGCAAGGGTTTGCCTGTTAAGGATAATTGAAGGGTCGTGTTGGTGCATCACTCGTGGTCATACTGGTCTCATATTTACTTTGTTTTATGGTGTTTGTTTATGTGCTGCTTTGTGTTGTGTTGTCCTGTTTTTTGATAAAACATGTTACCCCCTGTCCCAAGACAAATTTCTCCCATGGGAGACAATAAAGGATTATCTTATCTTATCTCTTATCTTGTCAGTGGTTGTGCCAGGGACCTCAAAGCGCCAGGATTCCGAAAAACATGAAAAATCTTTGCCAGGTGAGAGTAGCTCAATGTCGATGACGAGGCCCCACCTCCCGCCCCCCGTACGGTGTCCTGGTTTTGACAAACGCAAAAATATGGTCACACTAACCTATATTCCACTGAGTCGTGTCCTTTAGTCTGACAGAACGTTGACCGCATCAGCGCACAAGAGCCGTTTTGTTCGTTCCATTAGTTTATGCAATATTAGCCATGCGGTTTTAAGTTTTGTTTCTGTGAGAGTTCCGCAAAGCTGCATTAATTAAACACATTATAATGTCAAATGAGCTGATGTGGCTCTAGAGTGATTATGGTTTATATGTCGTAAAGTTGAGTTTATTTATGCAGATTAGTAGCGCAGAGTGTAATAATAATGATGATAATTTCAACAAAAAAAACGTTAATGATGAATCGAAAATCAATGGTTAATTCCCCTGACGATCGATTAAGGAAATTTAATTGAATGCCCATCCCTAATTCCTAATATAGAAATTTCATGATTCAGTTTCCAATTTTGGCCTCACAATGTTTTTATTTATTTGATTTCATACTTTTATTTCCATTCAAGTACTGCTGTTTCGAAAAAAAAGAGATG